AAGGTGGATTTTTATTAAAAAAATAACAAAATTGTTGTTTTTAACATTATAATGCCATTCCAAACGTCGGAGGCAGATTTTTGTTAAAAAAACAACAAAATTGTTGTTTTTTAACATTAAAATGCCGTTCTGAATATCGAAGGCAGATTTTTGTTAAAAAAACAACAAAATTGTTGTTTTTTAACATTAAAACGCCATTTCGAACATCAGAGGTGGATTTTTGTTAAAAAATTTTTTGATCTGTTGGATACAGATACAGATTCAGATTTGTCAGATTCGGATATGGATTTATATTCAGATTTATCAGATTTGGATTGAATCAGATTTAGATTTTTCAGATTTTGATCAAACTGGATTCAGATTTTTCAGATACGGATTGAATCAGATTTTGCCTAAATCTGATCTGATCTGATCTGTACAGAACACTAATTATTTGATATAAATAGATGATAAATTATTATTTACTTTATATTAATGATGACAAATTGTTCAATGCAAATTGAACGAAGCTAATATCACATTTTATTGATAAAAAATTGACATATTTTATAAAAAAACTTTAAAATTGAAATTATGAATAAAAATACTAAAGAAAATTAAAATACAGATATTGACATTTTATTTTTATTTCTAGTTTGACCTTTCTAAATCATATTATTAAATTAATTATTTTCTTTTAACTTAAACTTTTTTTAAATTTCAAATCTTTTAAATTTAGTTTTTTTTTATAAAACCTATCTCAACTCTTCCATTGCAGCATTCACTTCAAATTAATCTTAAATTCCATTTACTTTCTTTTTTTTCTTTTTAGATTCATTACTTTGTTATTTAAATTTTTGTTATTAGAAATAAAATCTATAGTTAAAGAATTTGTAATATAATCTGGATTAACAGCTTTATTTATACTAAAAAATTTTCTATTAGCCCAATTTACACTTCTTTTACTAGTAGAATTAGCTTTTTTTTTGCTAGTACATTTTGTATAACTTTTTTCACCTTATTTCTAATTTGCTCAAAAATCAACCAGGCAATATATTATCTTTTGATAAACTTTTGTTTTTTCTCGCTTCACTCTTCTAAATTTTCATCCCAAAATGTTAATAAACTTTTAATTTCTATATCTGTCCATTTGATATTATCTTTACTTGGATTTATTTCTTTTTAGACCATTTGTTTTCATTTCTTACTTTTAACTGATGGCTATATAGTGTAAAAAATAATAAGTATCAGATATACAAATAAATGTTTAATTAAATTTTTAGATAAATCTTACCAAAAAAAATTTTTATTAAATTTTTGTGATTCTTCTTGTATAGTAATAAAATCTGTATCCAACTATTTATATAGTATTAATAATTATATTGAAAATATTTAACTAGATAAAGAAAAAACATACAAACCTCTGTAAGATCAATTATTTCTTTAGAAGTAGAAGCTAATCCAGATGTAAACTCATTAGGAAAAAAATTTGAAATTTCTACTATGGTTGGATAGGAATGGGTTTCAAACATGTATTAAATTTTGGATCACAATTTAATCCAACATTTTTATTGCTTTGTAAATTCATTAAATTTAAACAGCACGTAAGTGCGTTTATTTGATCTGATCTTCAAATGATTTTAATTGGCTACTGTCTCATGACTTGATTTTACCCAAATGCAAATATCCGGTTTTTTCACAAACCGTTCTTAAATTTGAGACCCCGAATTTAAAATCGAAAATCCGAAATGCGATTAGTTTCATAAACTTTATTTGATTTTTATTTAATGTTTGTGAAAATATTAAGCGAATTACATGTTTTAAAAAGTTGTATACAATCCATCGATTCTATTAATACCGGTTTTAAAAAAACCAAATTCTAGTCAAAATCAAGTCGAATTTTGGATTAGTATGTTTTTTATAGTTCAAAAATCGATCATGTTACACAATGCCATCAGCCAGATCATGTTTTATTTCTGTGAAACTTCTTTTTTTTTTCATACGAGATGGCTTTTATACATTCCAACTTTGACTACTTGGATAAAGTCTGGTGGAAATTAGATTATGATGATCGTAATGCCCAGTATTTCATCTCAAATACAAAACGCCTTCAACAAGTTATATCATTATATGTTTATAACGAGGAAGAACACTTTTTGAAGGGTTACATTGACCTTCATCGCGAACGTTATTTAATCGCATGCATTTCAACTGAAAGCAATATAGACTTCAATGTTGTGCAACAAATGGTTAAGAAATCATGGTTTAAAGTTTTTCTGAGCTACATCTACAGAATAATATTTTCCAACATACTTTTAGGACCTTTTACACGTTTGGCCAGCATCATTTTTAAACCTTCTCAATCTTCGCATTTAGCTAAAAAAGTGCAAAACTTACACGATGCAATTAACGACATTTTTCCATCCACCTTCTATCCCAACCTTCCAATGCGTCGCTTTACACCTTTGCTTGCACGAAATTTGCACAAACAGGTTGGCAAAGGAATAATTGACAACGCTGGTCAGTACAGAACGATAGATGTTATGTCAGAGCAAGACAATTTTGTTTATTTGGCACCAAATTTGATAAAGGACAAAATAGAAGTGTTATTCCGTCAATGTCGAAAAAATTTTGAGAGGGAGGACTTAGAATTAGAAGAAGCTGTCAAATTTGGGGCTTGCTTTCTCGCTCATTTCTTGTATATTCATCCTTTTAAGAAAGGAAATGGGAGGGTTGCTAGATTACTTTTGAGTTACTTGCTATCAAGATTCACAGTGATGCCACTTTCTTTGTATTTAGGATCTAAAACACGAAAGGTGTATTTAAAGTGTCTTCGTGAAGCAACGTGGTATCATGAACCTCCATTCAAACCCGATGCACTCGCTAATTTTATACTTGAGAATATATTTGCAACGGCTTATCATATATGTGTAGTGATGGATTTAAATATTCAGAATAAAGATTAATGTCAACTTAAAAATTATTTCTTTTATGATGTTTTAATTTTCACTTAGGATTAGAAATTTTATTGGGAGAAATGGAGTGTCAAAGCTAAAATATGTCAGCTTAAAAAATTATTTGTATAGCTTTTAAAAATTCTTTGTTTTACAAAATAAGTATTTCGTAATTTGTTCAATCTAGCACTTAAAAATAAAAGGCAAACGATATAAAGCAAATTAAATTTTAGTAATGATTTAAAAAGAACTATTTTGTCGACATATTGACCATTCTTATTTTCTCGTATTTATTTTCACATTTTATCAATAATGTGTGTACATATGCCTAATGCTTCATCTTGTGATCGGACTTGTAATTCGAATAACTCGCTCGCGAGTTAATTAATAGTTAATATAATTAGAATCTATTTTTATGAAACACGCAATTTAATACAATGTAATTTTCTTGCGCTTGCTATTTTTTTATCTCAACCTCTATTAATAGTCAGTTTATTTATGTAATCATGTTAAAAGCACCAAATTTTTCATCTCAAAAGGTCTCGAATCTAGGAATGATGTCAATGCATTGCATCAAAAGTACCTCAATCTCGGAAGGAATACTCTTAAAAGCTTCGTTAGTGACTTTTTAGAAAGATGATGAAGTCACTGCAATTTGATTGGACAATAGTGAAGAATGTGGTGTTTAGTATTATGATGGACGACAATTTCGATCATCTCGCTCGTAACTTTGGGATATTCTTCTAAAACCTAATAATATATTTTTGCTTAATTTTTAAAGGCGTGATTAATAAAATGATTAATTATTTAAGGAATTTTAAAAAATTTATTATCGTGACTTGAATAACTCCGACATCGATTCGATCACAATTTTTTGAGATTAATTCAAAGTTAAACGACTCTTATCACATTGCTTGCTTCATCTGCCCTGCTTTTCTTAGGAAATTAAATTTTTAAACAAACTTTTGTATCGTTATTGTCTTGTATTGGGGTGCTAAAGGTTGGAATGGCCTAAAAATCCTTAACCGGTTAATAACCGGTTAAATTTATCGTAGGCCGGAAATTTAAATTAGGGCTGAATCTCGTCATTATTAATTCTGACCGAAATTAAATTTCGATCAAGTTAAAATTAACCGATTTAAAAGTAAATCTTTAACTATTTAACAAGTTAAGTCTTAGCCTGTTAATTAACCGGTTAAAACCAACCTTTGTTAATCATGGAATATGTAGATGACTCGATTGTGATTTTTTAGATGCGGCACGTTAAAGACATCCTTGTTTTCATTACTATCCTTTGTCATTTCGTCAGACATATTGTAATTAGATGGATTGTAACAAATGAAATAGTAGTTATGAATAATGCTTGTATCCTTTTCATCTTAATGCTATATCTCCTTTCTTGTTGTTATTCGTCTACGTCCAGTACAACTTGCATCACCGTCGTTTTCTTGAACACTTCCTACCTTCCAAAATTGTTTTTATACAAGATGATTTCCGTCTAAATTTTAATTAAGGATATTTTTTCAAACTTATACCTGCTTTCAACTTAGCGGTAGTGATAGAGGAAACAAGCAAAAACAAGCAATCGACAATTAAAACATAGTTTTAAAACTCAATTGGGTATGAGTAACGTGCTTTTACAATCACTATTGTCGGCAAACTACACTGACCTCTCCGGAACTTACTTCTTTCACTCAAAGATTAAGAGTCTGTATGACAACATACACGCGAAATCACATTGGAAACTTCCGAATAAATTCTGCTAGGGTTTTGACTGCGCCAAAATTTGATCACCGCGACTATGACGATCATTATATGTCAATTCTGTCAGATCTTTAGGACAATCCGGACTCATGAAAGATGTAATGTATGTCAAAATGACTACATTTGACATCAGAGTTCAATTTAATTGGCATTTCCGTCATCCAAGCCGCAATTCTCCTGATATTTCTAGAGAATGCTGTAGCAATGTCATGGGAAGAAACTTTAATATAAAAGTGCTCTTAGGATTTGAACATAGTTCTATTCTCTTTATGCCTATTACAGAGCCGCCGGCAGAGGCAGTTATAGTTGTTTTATTTGTATCTATTTATCATTTTTATTAAATAAATATATTTCTTTTATTCTTTATTCTTTATATTTTATTTCTTTAAAAAATCTATTTACATTCTATTTTCGTATATCGCAATTACATAAAAATAAATCTAAAAGAAAATAGAAACACTAGCAAAAAAAAAAAAATAAAAAAAAATACAAATCAAGTTTAGTCCGATGATGGTTTGTGGTGTGTTTTAATCTATATAATCTAAACTTGAGAACAGAATTGTAAATTTCTGATGAATGAAAAACTAAAAACAAAGGATCACTTGTGCTGATATAGATTAATAAACAAACCGGTGACTTTTGAAATATTAATAAGTTGAATCACCGCAATTCATGTACCACTTTTCAAAAAATAGTTGGATTAATACCGTTTATCAACTATTTCTCTCGATTAACTTATAAATGTCAAATCACAGTTGAAGAACCAACTTCGTGAGATATTACTGTGACAAGAAAAAAATAATAATGAATGATGACTAGTAGCCAAGAAACTCTCCTATTATATTTTAAGTGGCGCACATGGTGATTATATTATTTAAACTTACCAAGTCTACGTTGCCTTCACGAAAATTTTAAATGAAATTAATACAAATGTTTTATTCAGTTTATGTATTTGTCATATAAACTAACGTTTTAATATTTAGAAAGTTTGAAAGGCAAAAAGTGTTATTGACTGAAAATCTTGGCATATAAAAGTAAAATATTTTTTTTTTTGCAAAGGTCGAAATTAATAAAGATATTGGTCATTAAAACTAAATAATCACGTGAACTATTAAAAGCGAAAAAACAATAAATGGACATGAGAATATCAAAAGTAAGAATCATTGAGTATGTTGAAGGAGACAAGATTATGCCAAAGAGATAATTGTACCTAGATCTAAGGAGGGTGAACGAAAAATTACCGTTGTATATTTCTCTACAAAAGTGGAAATAGGACCTATGAAAAGAGTAAAGTAAGTGCTCACTTTAATAATACAGAATAATGCAGCATTAAAAAGTGTATCTATCAGTTTATGCCAGGTAAGTTATTTCTTGTTGTTACAAATACCGACTCACATTTCTATTATAACCACTCACCCTTTCTTCAAACCAGTTTTGACAGTAATGAGCCTATGCATTTTGAGTTGCCTATCTTGATTTACCTTTGTTGGAAATGAAAAGTTCCGGCTTCGTAGACGTAGGAATAGGTACGATATATCGAAGCATAAATTTTTATAAATTTTATTTAATTTAGTAAATTAAATTCCATGCATGCCAATAATGATAGGAATCATGTAAACTCGTGAATCTTGAATTATTTTGTGATCGAGTCAAAGATTCGAATTATTTAAGTCACAATAATATAATTTTTAATTACCCTCGACTTTTAAAATTAAGAAAAATATTATTTTTGAATCTCTATGTTTACGAGTGAGATTATTCAAGTTGCATTGCCATCAAAATACGAAACTCCATATTCTTCGCCATTCTCCAAAATAACCTAACATGTTGCATGACCTCTCATCTTTCTAAAAAAAAAAAGTCACAAACGAAGCTCCTAAGAGTAACAAACTTCCTGAGATAGGGGTAATTGTACTATCATCTTCCTCATGGGTTTCTTGTTCTTCATCACTACTGTTTTGGAATTTCTTTGAAAGGTTTTGAGAACGTATTTGAGATGAAAATTGGTATTTTTAGTTTTATTAACGATTATAGATTCCATAATAAACAGAATATTAACAGAGGTTGAGAAGAAGAAATCACAAATAAGTACATTTATTAAATTGCGCGAGTTTATTAAAACTTTATCATTATTGATCAACTATAATTATTGACTCACGTGTTAAACCTCATTCACTCGAATCATGATAAATTTTATTCTTCACGAGTTCGATCACTACATGCCATGCCAAGTATTGAAACATCAGTAATTTACAATAAAAAAATAATTTTTTATGAAGGAATAATGTATAAGATTTATACTAACGATATTTTATCGTCATTCGATACGATATGAAAGTGTTTAAAAAAAACCATATGCCATTTTTAACTAAATCTTGAGATCTGTTCCTACAATACAAAAGAAAAGTTATTATTATTTTAAGAGAACATTATTAAATATATTCACCACACTCTTCCATTTAAACTATAGTTTAACATATATATATACATGTAATTTATGTTAGTTAGATCGGGTTAATAAAAATTTCATTAAGATACTACTATAATCACTTTATTATTTTTTTTTAAAAAATAAAATAAAATAATTATAATAATTATTGAATCCAGCGTCTCATCTATCTATCGCCCCACCTATACATTTATTTAACTATTAAATCTCACTTATATATATATTATCAAAAAAATCTTTCTTCAAGAATTCATATTATAAAGTATATACAATAATTAGATTTGCAAATGTTGAAATTATTCCCAATGTTACCTTAGATATTATATTATAAAGTAAATAATATTGATTATAGTAATTATTCCAAATGATCTTTTCTAGGGTTCTTTGCTCGGTACCATGTATATAAAAAATTTTTATTTATTACTATATAAACACGTCAATAGGTTCTTTCTTTATAGTTCATCTTCGTCTCGTCAAGAGAAGTATGTTTAAGATCATAAAAAAATAAAAATAAAATTTTTTCTTCCCTCCTTCAATAAACTAATAAAACTATAAATGTTTAATATATATTTTTGATGAAGATCTATAAGTGAACCTAATGATTTTTAATAAATACATAATATATTAATTTCATCCCTCCTTTTTTTTCATTAATCAAGGTGAAGAATCGTATTGCACGTATTATCCAGCTTTCATATTAACTTATAAAAAATAAATCTTCAATAACTCCGCATAAAATAAAGAATTTACTTTAAAAAGGAAAAGGAACGGATAAAATATACAAAAATAAATAACAAGA